TGAGTTGTTTGCCTTTACTACTGAGGATGACTCAGAATCTGAAATTCTGGTGGTCTTTAGTTTACGAGTGACAGCAGCGACACTCCGGCATCGCCAGCTCCTTTTGCTTCGAATTACAAGCAGTTTTGAGGTTGTGGACATCGGCGCGGTTTCAGCAGGCCGACTTGAGGAAAAGAAAGGCGATTTTGCCCTTGATATTGGTGCTGCCTTTGCAGCACGTCGCTGAATTTGGCCAGGCTGTGCTACAGCTCGTTTCTCTTCGCAGCTTGACTCTTCCTTCGGCTTGCGCCGGTTTTTGTTGGGAGAACTTGTCACTTGGGGCCTGCCGCTTTGGCCGAAATTTGCCGTGCTCGGCTCCCAGCTTTGTCCAGCTTTGTGGAGTGCTCGGGAGTTCCCGGCGGCATGCTGGCACCGTTCTGAGAAAAGGCTGAGGCCCTCAGCCGAATGCCAAAGATGAGGGTATCCAGAGGATTGAAGCCAAGGTCTTGTGAATCGACATCCGCAGGGCACAACTTCTTGGGCATGGGTTGATGTGGTGGGTTGAGGAGTGCTCTGTCATTACGGTTGCACCAGTCAAGAACTTGACCTCGCCCTGAGCACCCCCATCGACCTGTGGGCATTCCAACTGCTAAATTGTTGCGAATTTCTGATCAGTGAGCATGCTGGCGAACCAGATCGCCGGATTGAACAGCATCACGCCGCCGAGAATAAACTACAGCAGGCAACTCGGGTTCCTTCGAGTGGAAAAACTGAGGGGGGGGGGGGCAGGAATACTTTCCGCGGATCAACAGTAGCTGGGTGACCATCAAGTAGCCGTTCATTTTTCCAGACCCGGTGGACCCAAGGTTGAGATACCTCGCCTGTGCTCCCAGGTGTAGAGCTGGGCTGGGGGGTCCGGCAGGGCCCCGCCCCGGCGGGCGCGTGAGGCTCGGTCTGGAAGTGGCAAGTGTCAAAGCCTGAACATGAGATCATGCACAAAGATTGGTGCTTGTTGGGTCAGATGAGTACTCATAGGTGTTTTTTTGGTTGATTTAGTTGAAAAATAGAGGGCCCTGGTTTACTGGTGGTTCAACCAACTACCAGGGCCATCTATTTCTCAAAAAAGACACCTATGTGAGTACTGTGTAGAGATCTTGCTTGGTGAGACATTAGGACAGGTTGACATTTCCACTGGGGTACAATGTTGAGATTGCCAGTCTTTTGGCAAGATGGTCTGTCAAAAAGCTTTCGAGCGTGATTGCTGTCCCTGTGTTCAAGCACAGGGCTGTGCCGACTGTGCTGCCGCAGGGGAGCGATGAACGTGCGTGCGCTTGCCTCTAGAGGCGAGGGGTCGTGGCATGTGCATTGGCGAGTTGAATGGCAGTCAGGAGTCTGGCGAGTCGTAATTTTGGGGTCCTTCTTCATCTTTCTCGCTTCTTCTTTGTCTTCTTTTTCTCTCCTCTGCCTCCTCTTTGTTGTCGCGATCATCGTTGCCGTTTTCCGCTGAAGTTGCAGTTGTACCTGGCCTCTTGTGTTGACACGCCGCAGCAAACATGGGGCATTCCCTACGCAAGGCTCCTTGGGATGGTCTTTTTCGAGGGTGCCTGTTTTTGGTTGTTTTAAAGGGAAGGGGACACTTTTGGGTGGTGAAGGAACAACTTACTTTCGGGGTCCCACAAACCCATTTGGCTCTTCCTGGCCAGGTGCCTTGCGTAAGCCAGGGGCGTTTGGGCAAATGCCTCAGATCTTTCGGCGGAAGACTTGGGGGGCTGGCGTCAATTTGGGAAGGCTGAAGGACGAGTGGGAAGCCCCCCAGCAACTGGAATGATTTCTCAGACTCGCAACAAGCTGAGGCTGCCTGCTGCGAGCCTGGCTACAGTGCAAGAGCCGCGAAGCGGTTTGCATGCGACGTGGCGGCATTTGCAGCCATCGTGGTGTTTCTGGGCAGAGAACCTCCTGGGTCCTGGGGGTCTTCCATGATTGTGCTTGTCTACTGAGCAGAGCTCATTTGGGCCCCCGCCAAAAAGAAACACCAAATGGTGGTTGTCCTTTTGGTTTCCGCCAAACCCAACCCAAAATTGGTACGCTCAACAATCCACACACACACAAACCCACTTGACATGGGCGGGCCGGACACCGGCGAGTGCTCTTGCGAGGCGAGCCCGGCATTGCCCAGGCCTGGAGCGCATCGCCAAGGGGTGATATGGACATGTATCAACACTCGGATTCCAGAATGCCTGCGTAAGGCAAGGGTTCGCTCTTTTTTTTGCCATCTCGAGAAGGGTTCCCGTTTGACGCATTCGTAAGCGAGTCTTTCCGCGTGAAGATCTCGTCGCAGGCCGGGCTCGGCAAAGCCAATGAAGCTCTACTGGAAGCTTGCAAAGGACAGGGCAGCCGACGTGACAGCCGAGACACGTGAGCGCATTGGGAGCTGAGACAGCTGAGACAGTCAACAAGTCAACGGCCAGGGCAAGCTCACGCTTTGGGTTTCGCTGTCAGTGGGGGCCTCGGGCTTCGACTT